AAACAAATAGATGTCATCTATTTAATTTCTCTTTTACATAGGTGGATATTCCAGAAATTACTAGAACTGGCTGAATATGTTTTGCTATTCTTTATGTGAAAGGGGTGGAAAATGAAGTCGGGGAAATGTAATTATTTCCAAAATTGGTCAACTTTCCATTGAAAAATATGGAACATATGTAACATTACATGCTTGTTTGACATTTAAGATGTTGGAATACTAATGCATATTCACCTTAATTACCACTGTGTCTCAGGGGAGCTGCATTTTCTTGTTTTTTTCTTTCTCTCTTCTGGACTTTGTGACTGGATTGTGTCTACATCACCCTTGAGTGATCTGTGTTTCTTTACCATAGGGAAATTTGGATAAAGTAGTCTGGGTGGGCTACAAAAGACTGAGAAAGGATAACTTCCTTAAAACATAACTTCTAGAAGACACAGGACCTTGGTAGCTACAGTGGAACACCAAACAAAATGGTTTGAATCAAAACTTCATCCCAAAGTGAAACATTATTTATTATGCTGCAGCTCCAACAAGACGTTTAGACATTTCCAAACCCTTTCCTTATATTTCATTTGCATTAATAAAAGGTTAATAACTTGATTTTTAGGGTAAATTGTAGTGGTAAGAAGCATTTTAACATATTATGATATTAAATGCATAATATCATAATTTCTAGTGGTATGAAAATCCCAGTTTTTACCAGCTGCTAATGGCCTCTGGAGAGATTCAGGCTGATGAGGTTTGTGATGTCAAACAGCTGTAGATGAAAATACGAGAAACAGTTGACAATAATTAAATAATACAAATGTGAAACTACAAATCTGAGACAAGCACATAATCTTCATGGTATTATTTCATATGATTTTTATGTGATATTAAATACCATTCAATTGCCATACTCTTAGCAAAGTCAAAATAAGAACATACTAATCTGCAGATTTATATTTCAGACAGTAAAGAAATAAAACAACACAATATTTAGTTAGCATGAACAAAATTCTGAGGCTTTTCTTTTTTTTAATGTGAAATTGATAAACTGTAAAGATGGTAATTTATTGAGTTCACCCTGCAATGTAAGGTGAACAGTCCACAGAAATGACACAATTGTAAACCCTTTTCTTGTGTATGAAATATCTCAGAGCAAGCTGTGGAATTTCAAAGTGTACCTGTAATTAAACATATTTGCTGAACAATTCTTAATCTGCAGTTTATTTGCAAAAGCTTTATATACAGATTCAATATTCAAAATTCAAGCTGCTTGATTAGATCAGTAGGCACATAATATGTTTCTATCTTAGAAGCTTGATTTTTCATATCAAAAATCTGGTATGAATGATTCAGAATTTGCTTTTTGCAAATACTCTTCAATATGCTCAAAATTCATCAAACATTATTGTTAGTACCGCTATTCAGCAGAATAGTTACAGAAAGCAAACAATACCCCGCTCAAATTACAAAAACGTCTATGTACCTTTCTAGTGAAAGGAAACCTGGTTGATAAGTGGAATTTAATAGCATAAATGAACAAACTATATTTACTTACTCAGCTTTCGAAGGAAGAATGATATTAACATACCTGCAATATATGTAAATCCCTTAAATATATATGAGTAACTTATATTGCTACTCCTACATATTTTTTTTTCTAACAGAACTCATTGTGTACCTAAATTTTAAATATAAAATGAAAGTATATTTACTTATGGAGGCTGGATGTATTGGATTTATCTGAATTATTCTGATCCTTAATTTGGAAGATATATTTTTCAGCTGCTAAGCTACACAATAATATGAGAAGCTGCTTACCTAAGCTTTATTTTTTTTCAGTGCTACAGAAAATGCAAACAGAACAATTAAATCATTGCTTCAATGGGAGTTGCAGTACATACAGGTAATAAATATATGGAGCTTATTCTATTATATCCTCATTATCTGAGTTTCTTTCTTTTTACTGGCAGGCTTATACAACTACAAAAGCCATGAAAACTCAATGCTAACTTAAAAGTACAACCTCTGTTACTTTAATATTTTTGTATTGTGTATCAAGGCAATGTTTACATCAGATAATGAAATGGAGATGGGGCAGAAAACACACCTCTGAAACACTTTCTACACAAAAGGATGAACACGTAGTTCTTTGCACAAAGCATTAGAAAATACTGTGATATTTTATTATTAAAAATGCTGCTGAAAAGTTTATACATATGTGTCCAGCCATATATATCTTCTATCATTACTTAAGGCAAAAAAACAAAAATTGCAAAACAATAACAGAAGAAACCATTAAACCCTGCGTGTCTCTTAAGGTCAAGAATATAAGCCTGGGAAAGTACTTTTCTTCTTCTTTTACAGTTTGAAAAGTATATTTTGATATCATTATTACAGAACTCTATGAAGACCCTATAAATCTGTTCCCTCCATAAATCGTCCATCAGTCCAGATGTATCAAATTATTAAATCAACTTGATTGTAATTACTTTTAAAAGCTAAAATCATTCACTCACAGGAACTCTTTTTTACCCAAATGTCACAAGCCTGACACAGTACTGTACATATTGCTAGCATAAGACAATTGGAAGTACTGAACAAATACTGTAATCCATGTTACAAACATACCCAACTGATTATGATGCCAAGCATCATTACCTTTTTTACTTTTTTTTTTTTCTTTTTCTAACCTATTTTTTAAGAGTTATGAATGGCTGCATCTCAGCTGAGGCATTACATAGGTGGTGAAAATGGCCTGGTACAGAGTCATTAATCAAGCAATCATTGATCATTAATCAATATTATGTGATGGATCAGTGAAAAACAAAACAGTTTTCCATTTGCTGCTAGTTGTACATTGGGGTTGCTGCTTCATCACATTCCAACCTGAGCATCCACCTCAGGTTTACAGCACATTTATTACAGATAAAGGATTATATCAGCCACATGTTGCATTTTTATCATGTCATTAACTTTACTTTTATTTCTTTCCTTCAGAACCTGTTTTACTACCTGCTACAACAAGGAGTTGTGCAGATGAATAGACCTCAGTGAATCACCTGGTCTTTGATTTTATTTGTAGGGGTGACTATTCCAAGAAATTTTATTAGAAAACTGAAAGCATACAAAACAAGAAGAGATACAAGGCATCTTGTGTTAGATACTTATGGGACATATGATAATGATGCAGCTCAGCTGTGAATTAATAATATAAAATACATCGGGGATAATCATGTCCAAGTGCAGACCAATTTGTTCAAATATCTTTGGTTACTATCTCTTGATGATGGAGTAACTTCTAAAGACAAAATATAAAGTGATCTTCATCTGTGATAACTTATTTCCAGATTTTCACATTCTAATCAGTTGTTTGAATCAAACTGCAAAGTTCCTCTGTTTGGGCCCTGGTTTCCTAGTGGAGGAAGGGCATAAGGGAATAATCAGCTAAGAATTTTGCCCTTCCTGACGGTGGTGTTCTCTGGGATTTTCAGTTTTATTCAGATGCAGAACAGCTGATGACTCCTCTGCTTCTCTCTCCATGATGTTCACAGACTATGGGACTGCCGTGTAATAAATGAGCAAAAAGGGTATTTTCTGATAGGTATGCTCTGAAGCACAAAACAGGGTACTGGGCAGAGAAGTTCTTTACACACTGATCATTTCCGGACACTTAAAAAATCAGCCAGCCAACCAACCCATCATTTCCCCCCCTTTCAAATTATGTTTTTATTTCATTTACTAAAGGTAAGAAGGTGCTTTCTCAGCTGAGATTCCACTGCAACTGCTGGTGAATGTAGAGTTAGTTTTCCTCAGAAAAGGCTGACCAAAACACAGGCTTTCTTTGCTTTTCTCAGGGCACAAAACTCTTCCTAATGTATCACAATAACCAAGAACTACAAACTGGACTCCAAATATATACTGTTGGATGTTAACTTGGTGCAGTTCAACAAGCTTATATTTCTTTTGTGGTTTTTTTCTTCTCCATTTTCCAATCCATTGCTGTGTTGCAATTTAACAAAGGCTAACAACAAATTAAATTATAGAAAAAAAAATGTTTCAGAAAAAATCAACAATCTCCTATGAATACTTTAACATGCACTAGTGTAACCTGTAAGAGAAAATATGCAGGTCACACAAACAACTGTATCCTCTGCATGACACCATGGTCTCATATAAATGAAACATGTTAGAAAAAACTCATGATTTTTGTTTACCACTAGTAATTAAGAAGAAATTCCTCCTTCGGGCTTGGAGGAAACAGAGGTGATATGACTAATGTATATACACATAGGTCACAACCGAATGCACAATCTTTCTAAAAGCTCTTTTCAAACTGAAAACATCAATAAAAGCTTCCTTTTTTTTTCTTTTTTTCTTTTTTTTTTTTTTTTTAAACTCACAGCTATGTACATTTTTACAAAGTTTCTTTAAATATAGTTCAGGCTGGCAAGTCATCTCTTTGCACAGAACTATAAGTATTTTACTGCATAGTCAGTCCTCCTCTATTTTTTTCTTTTTTTTTTTTTTCTTTTAATAAGAAAATTCTATTTCCCCCATCTGGATTACAGCTTCTTATGCTGGGTAAAACCCCATGGTGATGTCTTTCTTTTAACAAGGGCCATTCATGGTATGGCACATAAAGAATTTTTTTTAAATTAATTTATTTATTTTTAAAAACCCCAAAACACCTTTACAGTCACTGGCTCTGTGTTCCAGAAGACTCTGCTTTGCTTGTTACACTCAAACCACCATTTTAAGTGACTTCTTCCGGCCTCAACTTTCAATCAAAGTGGCTGAGTTCTTAAAGGAGTGTTGTAACAGCAGTGTACACTTTTCACATTTCACAGGGTTTGTAGTTGATCTTTAACATCAGAGAGTTTCTGTGGGAAGGATCAGTAAGAAAATAATGGCTGTCCTTCTCCTTTACTTGCTTTTACTTTAGATTTTTACAAGGTGTTCAATGCATGGTATTATAACTTTTTCCTCCTTTTTTTTTTCTTTTAATTTTGTTTTTTCTTTCTTCGAAGTGGCTTGTGAGGGTAGAGAAGGAAGGACTGAGCTATACCCTAGTGGTCGAATGTCCATGGGGCAAATTTGTACTGTTTTGTCCTCCACTGAAGGTGTTGAAAGTATGCAAAGGCTGCATTCCTGTTAATGTATTTGGAATCATCGTTATGGTGTTGGGTGTCATTAGCGGGATGTCGTCTGGGGACCTTCTCAAAGTAAGCGTGTAGTCTGGTGGACAGGTTAGTCTCAGTGTGTCATGGGCCTGCAGCGATTCACACTCGTGGTCGTGTTCTAGCTGTTTCATCTGCAACGACATGATCTCTTCGTTTTGTATGTGTGCAATATCATTAGTTGTGTTCCTCTGCGGGCTAGGGCGCCTGTGAGTCTCGTGACGCCGCTTGTCCTTCTTGTAATACAATGCAGCAAAAGCTAAAATATTGAGGAACAGCAGGGATGCCCCCACAGCAATGGTGACGCTCAGCTCTGTGGAGTAATCTCGCTTGTTCTCTATCAGAACTGTTGTATCCTCCGGGGCTGTTTTATGGGTGTCTTTTGAATGTTTGGGATTGTTGGCAGGTGTCATTGCTGGGCGTTTGGTGGCTGGCCACAATTTTCCAGGAGAACGTCGCGTCACATACGGAAATGATGTCATGTCAGGTGGGGGGACTTTCGTTGTTGTGGAAACGTACTGAAATATTTCATTCAAGTTGTGAAGGTGCGGTACGAGCTCCAACCAGAAAGCAACTTTTGTTGCTCGGTAGTGATCACGAACTCGGGGTTTCAGGCCAATATGCAGATAAAGCTGATCTTTAGGATTGTATTTGGACCAGGCTACTTCTTCAAAGCGGTTGGGTTTTGTGTGGATGAATTTTGTGTCCTGTGGAACAGGCTGGTTTGGATCTCTACAAAAATAAAACCAGGAAATATTAAAGTAATTAAAAACCAAAAACCTAAACCAAATGCAAAACCCAAAAAACCTTCCATCCTTCAGTCAATGGTTTATCCGATAATTAGCATAAACTAAAACCAGAAGCTAAAAAACCTCCCTAACTTAATAACAGATGTTAAGAAATAAACAAAAGAAAAATTACTTACTGTACAGTGCATCTCAGACATTATAATACTTTTTTACATGAAAATGGAGAAAGGGTTGTGTTTTAGCTTCCGAAAGATCATCTGAATTTCTGTGATTTGGTATCATACTCCAAAGTTGTCTTATAGGGGTACCAAGTACCATTCCCCATTGTAATAGTGCAGGTTCAACTCTTCTCAAGGATCAATATTAACTTTCTCATTTATGGGATCCCTACTTCCATTGCTCTAAGCAGTAAATACAGGCATATAATCCCGATGGTGATGTTGGAAACTCATATGACCATAAGATTTTGTACTATCTGTGTATATTACATATAAGACTTTAAAACATGAATTAGTAGAGCTAATACATGTAACTGGGAACTTTGTATTCCTTTAGTGTGCTATTAGTCCCACTTCATCCATGTATCTACTTTAGGGAAAAGTCTTTGAAATATTTATATGTTGAAAATCTTTCCATCATTTGCGTTAGCAGATAACTCTTTGAAAGTTCCGTGTGCTCATTTCTACTGAATAAGTACATCTAATGGCTGTAGAACAGTGAGGCTTAATTCTGTCCTGGTTTGCAGTGATAACAAATATATTAGCTGAAATCAACAAGTTTTATAGTAATTAAGTAGTAGTAGAGATAAGAGTGGTACATTACTCAGAGATAATTCTAAAATTGGTACTCCAAATATTTAATTGAAATTATGCTTTTCCCATTTTTTTTCTTTTCTTCTCATAGGTAAGAATAAAGGCAAACCAGTGGCACAAAAAGCATTTAAATGTGGTTAATGTCTATGTATACTTATAATTTTGGTAAACTTTAAGGAACTATGACTTCCTCTTGGCATGAAAAATACAGAAATTAAAATTTACTAATACTGAGTTTAACATTCCATTGTGCATGAGTCTGAACCTTCTTTATGCAACAAAGAGTATTTTCTGGGACCTTCTGATGTATTACACTGAGAGTATATGATCCATTTTCTGTGCATTAGTCTAAGAACTTTCCATTCTCCTTTCCACTCCCATATGATTCGTTTATTTCCTGTGAAAATGATTCTAATATTTTCCTTTTCTTCCAATATACTGTTATGTATGTTACGGGAATACCAAGACACACCACTACAGATTTTAAAGCATCTTAAATGTTCTTCTTTTTTCATTTTCAAAAGCTCATGAACATGATTGCCTAGTTTAGCATTCCTTAGCTGTTCATAAAGAGCTATTTGTAAGTTCTTAAACCAGACTAGTAATTAGAACCTTATAATTCCTGCATTCATCTGTTTACCTGAAAGAATTTATATATATTGAGTGAAAGGACGAACACTTTTTCTATACAGTTTTAGTAATTTGGTTTACTTATGCTTGTAGTCTTAGGCGTTTGGGCTTTTTTAATACTGTACTGTATCAAATTTTTCCCATCTCATTAAGGCATAAACTAGGGGTTCCACAACTGTGGCTATTTCACCTCTCTCTCCCTCTCTCTCTCTCTTTCAGTTTATGTAGTAATAGCTAGCCAAATCGTGTTAATTCTGAACAAAAAGATAACCAGTTAGTGATTGTTCATCCTAGTTGAAGCTAAAGGAGTAATATTTACTTCCAAGAAGTACAGCAGCAACATTATGCTCCTGCTTTGAGGGATTTTAACATGCAATTGGAAAAAAAAAAAAATTCTTTTGTTCTCAAAGAATAGACTGAAAGATTTGACAAATCTATAGGAGAAGACACTGGCCCAAATCAATATATCTACTACTACCGTACTTCGTGGTTCAACAAATAATTTCTAAAGCAAATGAAAAATCAATAAGATTATCAAAATGCAGAGCATTTTTCTTGTCAGAAAGTCAAAATCCTGCAAGAGTTACAGTGCAAAATCCAGTTTGTGTTCTCACCCCCTTGCTGTTCTGATTCACAGCACAAGAGACTGTGGGGAGGGTCCCATTATTTATAAATTATTTATAAATTATTTATAAATTATTATTTATAAATTATTATATTTTATAAACATTTAAATTAAGCCAGTTCGTGTAAACGAGTTGCACTTGATACACAGTAAAGGAGATAAAGAAGCTGAGCACTCAATTCAATGAGCCAAACAGGACAGGCACTTTTTTTTCATTCTTTTTTTAATGGCCTTATAAAAATGAAAGCAGATGATGTTAAGCAACTGAACATTTTTTAAATTAGCATTCTCTTCACCTGCAAACAACCTACAAAAAAAGTAAATATGAACCTCCTTTTCCTTTCAGTCTCTTCCATTCTTAACTTTCTTCTCCTCTTTTTAACTATACCTATTAGGAATAGCTAATTATGTTGCTGTCTCCTCCAAACACAAGAGAGAAAATTACATTACATAAGCCTAGTCTTGTATTTCAGGATTTGTTTACATGGCCATGTGTGGGCATAAGGCTGCCCACTGAAACAAGAACAGAAAAAAAAATCAGCC